ATAGGCTGAGTCATTAGTACCTTCTCCTCTCTGTCAACACTCTCTGGTTTCATTTAAAAGAGTCAATCATCAGATATTGTCCAAGATTAACCTTCAGCGTGGATGTAGCTCGCTAGCAGCCTCGCACTGATGACCTGTCCATGTCATCATTTACCCAGAAGGCTTTGCATGTAAATAAAATGGCCCCATCCGTGTAATATATTTTTAAAATTTAGTTTAAAAATTATAAAAACTAAACAGCCTACAGTTTTTTTGCAGTCGTTATTTCACAGTTAAACATATGTTCATCAAATAAAGTCTAATGTTACAACTAATCAGGGATCGCTTTAAAAAAATCTAAATGCTTGCTGTTAATTCTGTTCTTGTGCCTTGTTGCTGGGGTTTATTTTGGTCCTCGTGTCAACCGCGTGTGTGCAGTGGAGATAAACCCATTTATCATTCCAATTTAATAGGCCCACGCTACCACTTAAGCGACTACTGTATTTTGCTCACTCTAAGAGACACAATTTCATACCCGTGGTTGTTTACTCCCCCTACACATTCCGCATTCCATTGTTGTTCTGCTCATGCAAGTCAGATGAAGGCCATGCTTCATTCTGTCAACAACACAGAGCGAACGAGAGACTGGCTTTCATTCATAATAGTGAAGTGGGTTGTTGTGGGGGGGCGGCAGGGACGCCTCGTCAGGAAGGAGATGTCATGTTACCCAGTAATGACTATGTTGGTTAGAGAGCATCTCTGACAACACCAGAGGGCCAGTAATTACAACCAATTCCCAACGAAAACCACGTCAAAGACTTAGCACTCCTCTTACAAATGCGGTTGTCAGCGAAGCAGGCTGCCGCTGAGGTGACAGCCATGTGTTGACAATCCTGAAGAGCGTGCCTTTGTACCATTAGCAAATGCAATTTGCGGGTCATTGTGTTAGCACGCAAATTGACCTTTTGAATAACTGGATTTGTTCAAAAACTATTCAGCCATTCATATGGCACAGCCCCCAAAATTGAGCTCCATCTTTTCAACAGGCATGCTTATTTTTTTCTCCATTTTGCATCATACAAACCTCAGAAAATGGCTTTTGTTCACCGCTACATTCATCTCGCCTCCACATTTCCTCATACTTTTTCTTTTTTTCTTTTTTTTTCTTGGCAGGCACATGCAGGGGTGCTCTCTTCCTCCCCAGGCTCCGGCTCCTCCAGTGGGCTATGTGTCAAGCACAATGGTTTCCGATCTGGAGACTGACTTGCCTGATGAAGAGGACGAGGAGGACGACGAGGAGGAGGATGAGGGCTACGGAGCCAGGCATCCCCGCGGTATCGAGCACACACCAGGGTCCAGCATGGACAACCTGGACAGCTCTTTAACAGGTGGGCTCCAACTTCATGTGTTTTTTTCTGATATCTTTAATGTGTTTTCCAATGAAAGTGTCGATGTTATTGATATATTTAATGGGGCAAAACATCCCCAAGACCATTTGTTGTTACAGCTTGTTTTACAGCAAACAACTGATTTTCTACTTGTTCTTATGTGATCTTTTTTCAATTAACTTACCAAGTGTAGATCAGTAAAAAATTTTAAGCCCTTTTGGCAGATTGTTGGAAATTATAATTGTCAAATCGATGAAAGAGATAAGAAAGTCAATGAATTTTAAACAGGATAGTGAGAGGAAAAAATGAAAAGAAAGAAGAGAAGGTAGGTGAGCATGAGAGAACCACTTTGATTTAACGGGCGCAGAACTCCATACCCAGCACCCCCCATAGCTTCCCAAAGAGATTTGAAATAAATTTCATGTGGAGCATATTCCATTCCAGATCAGGGGCACCATTTCCATTTTTACAACTCACTGAAAACTTTTATGACCGTCTGCTGGGGGAGGGGGTGACATATGAAGGGCACGACACTACGACAGCAGAGCTGCTTCTGGCCTGCTGTTCTCATTCAGCCTGAGCGTCGCCATTCATTGACAGTTTAAAAGATAAAACTCAAGTGGTGTTTTAAAAAAAGGAATATGTGACGTTTAGTTCAGAATCTTGTGGATAAATAGCTTGGACAATGTTCATTTGTGACTGCATTTATTCCAAGATTTTTGACCAAAAAAAAACCAATCATATTTACCATATGTATTCAAGTATAATACGTAAAATTAAATCCATAAAATCATCCACAAAGTTGGGCGTAGTACCATAAATAAAAGTATTCCTGCACCTTAGTAATGATAACGAACTAATGACATTAGCGTGTGACCGAGCCGCTGATGGAACAACAACAAACACATGTTCTTCTGTAATGGCGGCCGTCTACCGGTGTACCGAAAAAGTTTGTATCCCTGAAAAAAGTTTCCCCACCAGAGGGGGCGCTCGTGAATAGGAAGTAATCTGCTTTTGCCCCAGAAGATGGTCCAAATCTCATGTGAAGTCTCTGACTTTTGTTTTGGTGCATCCTGGTGGACTATGTGTAAAATGCCAGAATTCCTATGATGCTGCTACAGCTGATGTATATTTGTGTTGTCAAAACACCTTTTAGTACATATGTTGTTAAAACAAAATCAACAGTCCAATGATCATTTTACTGATATGTATAAAGACTGCAAAGGCTGAAAAATCTTAAGTCTGCATGAAATTGGAGGTAGTTTGAGGATTAAATTTTTTATGCTTTTTAAGCTCAAAAAAGTGGGGGTGTACATGAGATCGTGTTATACACGAATAAATACTAAGCTTTGTGTGAGTGGAAAAATCACACTGCTGAAAAAAAGAGGATTTCATCCAGGTATTCAAGCATGAGAATAATGAGACTAACAGTGCTGCTGGTGGTTTTACCCTTACAGTAGCACCACTTATTGTAGGTGTCACTTATATGATGGGACCGTGGTTTTGGCAGGGACTTACCCTACTGTTGATGTGTTTGGACAAATTTAAAACAGCAACTAGGCTCACATCTACAGCATCTTTCCCTCTTCTGTTTTGCTATGAAGAAGGCATTATTTCTCATCTCTCCACAAGTCTGTTTTTCAACTAATGGTTTGGCAGCATAAACACAGTCCCAGCTCCAGAGTTAGCAACAGGAAGAGAGGAAAGATAGGGAATAAAACAGAGATTATTTTTGTGTGTGTAAGTGGCCACCATTCAAAGCTTATAAAAATATGGGAAGGTGGGAGTGAGAGTCCTGTCAAGTGCAGCTTGATAGATTTGTCTTAGTTATAATAATATGGAAATAGATCTGTTTTTATATTGTTCCACCAAGACCAGTAAATCAAACATCACTGCTGACGCTTCAGAAATTATTTGCTTTCTCCTCGGGGGCCATTTTTTTCCTAACCAGCAGATTGTCTGAACAGAATGTTCAATTCATTCATTGTTCATTCATTGTTCCGAGCTCATGCAACCAATCTTTAGCTGATCAATGTAAGTCCCCTCGTTGTGGTGGGTATTGCAGAACTGTTACCTTCTTAAGCCAAAGAGATAAAAGCATTACTTGATATTAACATGGATTTCTTCAGGTCATGTGATGTAGAGTTGTTAAAAATGGTGAGGCTATGTTGTGGGTGATTATGCTCCCATAAAACCTTGTCAGGTTTGTGAGGAGCAGAGTCACTCTCTTGACTTCAGGTAGAGGCAGCTGCTCATCAGGGGGAATCATTTTCCTACTGAGCGACATGCAGGTTATGGTTTCCGTCTGTGTAAATCAGTTTTAGTAGCAATGGGGATCCAACCCAGGTTTTACTGTCCCCCAGCAATCTTGTGTTTATTGGCCTTTCTCTTTCAGTGCATGGACCATGAAAGGTTTCGGTTAATGGTTTCAGAGAACATGATTTTACCCCTTGCTCTGTTCTAAATATGACCAAATGAAAACCATGCCATAAACACTTGGGTTTGGAGCCCCAGAAAGAGTTTAATTTCAGTAGCAAAAAAAAGAGAAATGAATGAAAGTCTTATCAAATTACACAAAAAGTACTGTTTGATCGGACCGTTGTTTCAGAAAATAGAAGAGCTCCAGAGGTTCTCCTGCAGAAAGTGGAGGTTAGCACAGCTGAAAAGTCATTCTGTGATGTGATTTGCTGAGGCAGTGTTCCTTCGCCGAGCCAGAGGACTTGGAAGCTCCTGTGCTTTGGCTGGCACTGCCAATACTTCATTATCTGCACTATTCTTTGTGGGAGGATTGGACCCACAGGAATTTCTGTCAGTCTTTCTTAGAGAAAAACTCCTAAAAAAAGAAATTCAAAGAAAATAGAGAGGGGAAAATGGAGAACTCCGAGTAGTTACTGCCTTGGATTTCAGTTAGAGCGGTAGAAATGGGTTGTGTCAGGAGATGCACAACCTTTTGCAAGCCTCAACTGAACTCTCTAATAATCAGAGAGAATTTTCCTGCAATAGAAGTGGAAAGCTGTTGCAACTTCGGCTGTTGAAGGTGCAATTCCCTGGAGTCACTTTCAGTGAGCTAGTAACCATCTCTTTGAGATGCAGTCTCACAGATGGGGGGGGAGTTGGAAAACTTTGAGGGGAATTTCCCAGCGTGTCTGGATACATAAACCACAGCCATAATTTTCTGCCCAATTTCAAAAGTGTTACATATCATTGCAAAGAGAAATACCATCCTAGGGAGCAAAATATGTGGAAGTTTTATACGAATTGTACATTTAAATATCAGTCTAATGCCGTTCAACTTAGAATTGTTTCACTTTTTGTACCACACTGACCTTTTCAATAAATCAAAATGGTAACTATTGTCCCTCTTGCTTACTTGGCCACCTTTACCCTCACACTTCTTCATTTCTCTGTTATGCCAGTCTGTTCAATCACATCACGTTGTATGAGGGAGAGATCGAGTGTGTGAGCTGAGCACTTGGGTTTATGCCACTTAAGCGAAGTCTGCCAAACCAGTCCCACTGAAAGCTGTCACATTAGCCGACTGTTCCCTCCGTCTTTGCTTGCCAAAGTGGCATATTTTTATTGGAAGGCTAATATTTTTATATTTAAAGCGCTGGCCCAGCTTTTTATGTGTAGGAAAATATCAAAGTACCAAAAATCACAGAAGCACATAGACCAAGAGTTACATATCTCACATGATATATGTGGTTTATTTACAATGTCAGAAACTCAGTTATGTTTTTATGGAATAAACATCAACACAAATAAATCTTTCTTTCAAATTCAAAGATAATCATTAAAAACACATTGAATAAAAAAAGAATATAGGTTTGTTTATCAATCTTTAAAAATGTTACATTTCTTTTAAACAGTGGCAGCTGTTAATTTTTAAACGTGAATATAAACAACTCTGCATACCACCAGGTGTTCATCCAGTACTCTGTTTTGTGCAGTGTCACCTGAGGCGGTTCTAGATCTCTTCACAGGTGCTCGCATTGTTCTCTGTCAAAAGAAGAGCAAAATCAGTTGATGACAGCCCTGCTGTTCCACAGTGTACACTCCTTTGCGTGTCTCTCTGTGAGAGTAGGTGTGTAGTAAACTAAGGTGTTTTTGTAATGAATGGGGAAAAAAGACGTGCCAAAACAGGACTGCACCATAAACGATTGATAAAAGGATAAAAAATGCCTGCCACAAATACAAAGTTATTTAAATGTAGGGCTTATAATCTAAGTTTTTTCATTTTTATACATATTTACACATGTATGGAACTACACCAGATTATGGCAAAAAGGAATTCACACTATATCTGAACATATTCTCAACACCCTTTGCTGTAACTTACGGTATTTCACAGGCTCCATGGTGAATGGGTGGGGCTCGGCCTCGGAGGATGAACGTAATTTTTCCAGCCATAGGTCCAGTCTGGGCAGTTCTTCCGATGGCTCCATCTTTACCCACTGCAGCTTTGCCCAGGCCCTGGTGGCCGCTGCTGACAAAGCGGGCTACCGCCTCGAGGGTACTAGCCTCAGCAAGAGAGGTTGGTGTGCAGAGACCGGATACCCACTGCTGCTCAGTGGCGGATGATTTTCTACACTCTGCTCTAATTATTCCCATTGATATTTCCCCAATCATCCTATCTGGTTCTTCCTGCTGCTCTTGAACACTTCGCACTGGTTGTGCATGGAGCTTGCTCTTAAAGCCTACACTTTGGGTGTACTTTTGTGCTTTCCATAAACTGAGGATTTCTCATCAGCTTTTCTGGTTCTTATATTTGACTTTGTAGGCTGGATGAGCATGACCTTGGTCCTGCTTGGTGTTCCTTTTATCTAAAGCTTGTTTTTCTCCTGTGATGAAAGCCTTTGTTTGCAGATCTTGATTGATAATCTTTATCTTTCCTGATGGCAGTCTCGACTTCACCGTCTGGGTGTGGGCTCCTTTATGTCTTTGTTAACCAGATGCTTGTGGTCTTGCATCCCTCCTGCAGGTAAGGGCTTGTCCCACAGGCCCAGGCCCAGCAGTCCATTTTCAACAGATGGCAGCACAGTCGGCACACACAGCCTGGGCCACCAGAGGGCCACCAGGCCCACACGCAAACCACGAAGTCAGGGCACAACACCCCACCGGAGAGATGCTGGTGCAGATGGTGAGATAAAAAAACACTTTTCTAATAGTTTGGCAAAGTTTTCTCAAACATTTACTCTTGTAAAAGAATACTGAAAAAAAGATAAAACATAAAATAATTTCCTCTTCAGCTTCTACAATAATAAGTTTAGAATGTCATGTGCATTCATACGATTGGCCATTGGTTTTCTTGGCACAGACCTACCTCCTCCCCCTGAGCCCCCTCCCTGTCAGGGGCAGGGTCGCATCCAAGGGGCTCGCAGTGTAAACAGCATGGTACCACCCACAGACAGAAAGGCTTCTTCTCTAGAGCGCACGCCTTTGTCGGGGCCCCTGTGTGGGCTGGAGGACATGAAAAGCTCCATGGACAGACAGATGCGCCCGTCTCTGGAACATCATCGCCAGGCTCAAGACAGGCTGGGCTCCATGGACCGAGCGGATGATGGACGCAGGGGACCCAAATCAGGTACGGATGCATCCGAAACTGTAAGAGTGCTGAGTGACGACTTCCATCAGCAATATAAAAACTTTATGCATTCTATGATTAACATGCTCCGTCAAACCGTGATCATTTTAATGTTCTGCCTTAATATATTAGGCTGTTACTGTGTTTTCTTTTTATCTTAATTTAATGTGTGTATTCCCAAGAACTCGCCTAATGGAGATTTAGTAATACTTGTAGTTAATAATATGATATAACTGCAGTTATTTATGTTTTTTGTTAGAAAACCCACAGCAAGGTCAAGGTGGATAAATCTGTTTGCATGACAGAGATTTATCCGACCGGACGGAGTTACAGAAAACAAATCCTCTAGTTTGCCACTCCAATCAAGAGTGATATTTCAATTTTTTTTCTTCAATAAAATTATATATTTGAATTTAAAAAAATAAAGAAATCAAACAAAGACATGGAGGTGTGGCAGCTGCTGCGCTTTGGTGGCGTCACATTTTGTCTCTTAAGTTCTTGTGTTGAACTGAGCTTTCTGTTTCAAGACTGGGCTCCCATGAACAGATTGCACCGTCTGCCACTTGCACTGGTTTCCAGAATCCCCCCATCAGCCCTCCCTCAACTTCCCTCTTGCCCCTGTAACTGTTGCCAGTGTCGGCCTGCTCAGATCCAAATGAGGCAGGAGGCCTCAGCCACTGATATGGACTCTGATGTCTTCAGATTTTTTTTTTTCCTTCACACAAACAGCAGCTACTCTACCGTCCCCCCCCCCCATCTGTGTGTGTCTGGTGTTTTGTGCATACTCGTGTGTGATCGTTAGCACTCCCCATTCTGTGCTGCCTGGTATCTCTGTGCCAGGGCTTTCTCAGACGGTTTCTCTGAGACGGTGAGACAAAGACAGGTGGCAAAATCTGCGTCTTTACAAAAAACCCTGCGGGTGAGTTTCCACGTGTCATGGCCCTGAGTGATGCACCGGAGAACCAGAGAGGTCAGGACAGGTTCTATTACAGTCATTAGTGAAGCAGTGGGAAGCAGTTTGATGAGATTTTGTGTCTTGATGGAGGCTGCTGAGGGTCAATGTTATGTGGCCCTGCAGCGGGGGGCTGCCACAGCAACCAGTGGACCCTCTGTTGTTGTATTTACCCCCCATCATAAGGCTGGTCACTAGAAGGCCCTGTGTGAGGCTTAAACGTCTCTCTGAAGTGGCCACTCTGCAGATGTCCAGAAGAAGGGTGGTCTTTATCTCAGTGCGTCGTATGTTAGATGTGTCACAGTAATGTCACATGTCAACGAAGATCTCTGTGCTTGTTTGCTTTTAGAGGATGGATGCCTGCCATACAACAAACCTTCTTTCCCCTCACCTGGGGGCCACAGCTCCTCCGGCACCACCTCCTCCAAGGGCTCAACGGGGCCTCGGAAAACTGACGGTCCACGGCAGCCACAGCAGTGGACTGCTACTGAGCATGCTGAATTCTTGGGGGCCAACGGACAAGGACAGTACACAGGAGAGTTATGTGAGTGACTAAGTGTTTTGATCTTTACGGTGCTGTTTTATGACCTACGGCACAATAAAGAAGGTCGTGTTTTCTAGTCTAGCAATTATGATCATAAAAGCACTATTTATTGCCATCCATTCTCCCTGTACTTGTGTGGACATTAAGTGAGTTGTGCGAGTTTTCCAGCATATAATGATTTTTTTAAAATAAAATTAGCATTTAGTGTAAACTGCGTTATGAACACCGCAACAGACCATTTTGTAGTTAGAAATGTGCATGTGCATAGAGAAGCCTAGCTTTTCCGTGTCACAGATCAACTGGATAAAAGCTGAGGTTGCGATATGAAAACGCTATTAGAACTTTGCAAACTCAATAAGCTCAAAAAACATGTTTGGATGTTATGAAAAATCACATCTATGATTCTAAAAATAAAGTTTAACACAAAATAGTTAAGAGCAAACACGTCAGTTCTGTATAACGGCGTAAATTTACCTGTTGAATTTGCACAATTAAAATAGCATTTTCATAGCAACCTCAGCATTTTCCGATAAACGTGAGGTCGGCCCGAATCGTGCATTCGTGATCATTTCTAACTAGAAAATGGTCTATTAGTGGGATTTATGAGTTTTTGGCTGATATTTTTAGTTTTTTTAAGCATTTGGCATGGCTTTCTAAAACTAAATGAAGAAAAATGATCAAACGCTTCTTTCCAAGACTGTTTACTGACCTGTTTATTCTCTTCTTTATTCTGTTCAGAGTGATCTGCCTGGGGTGTAATCTGGAGGCTGCCCCTCTTGGTGGGGCGATGAACTTTGTCCATACCTGTGTGTTTTCAAAGGGAAGGTGTCCAGCAGAAGGAACCACAGAGACAAACGGTGTCACAGAACTGTAAATGTGATGTAAAGACACAGACATACTGTACATCTCACTGTTTTTGTCCTCGAGAAAATATTTTCCACTTCCTACCTTACTGTAATTTTCTTTTTGTTAGAAAAAGGCAAGTAAAAATAAAATAAAACATCTGTATGAGGAAATAAAAAAAATAACATTTTCTTGTACCAACCCTTCCAGAAAAAGGGATTTTTTTTGTTTCCTGTAAATATTTTCTTTGACTTATTGTTGCATTGCTATGCAAACCTTATTGAGTTTGAGCTTTTTATTTCCATATACAGGAACAATTGCGTTTTATCTGGTTATTTGTATTATATGTGAATTGAGTGGCTCTTGTGCCATAAAATAATTGTTTTATAATCCATTGTTTGTTGATAGTTACCATTAATTAATTAATTGTTATTATCATTATTAATAATTATTGTTTTTTGCACTGCAATTTTTGGTGATAAGCACAAAAACAAAGCTCCTGCTGACATGAAGAACCGGACAAATATGTGAAGAGGAGTTTCTGTACTGTAAAGTAAAGAGAAGAAAAATATATTCTAGTGTACAGAGAGATATTAAAGAGTAATGCTTTTCTCACAGACAGCAACAAAGAAGGCACCCAATTCTGCAGTCCAGACGAATTGGGTGGCAGACACGCAAGTCCCAAGGGTGTGATGGGGTGATTTGAGGCCGACTGATGGAAAAAAAAGAGATTCTGTCCCAATTTAATGTCCCACAGTAGTTTATCCGAATCGTGTAGCCGAGGGTTTTAAAATGTATCAATTCTTTTAAATTAGTTTCGCTGCCTAATAAAGTTTTACAACACAGAGTTTTTGCTCTTTTTAGGTAACTAGAATGAAGACAGAGTTGATTCTTACATCAGGTCAGAGCACTCGTAGGCAAATTGAAGAACTTCAGGGCTTTGTTGTAAAAATGACACAATTATTATAATTAGTTGCAATAATTCTTCCTAACATTAAATAAATGAATAAATCAGTGGAGCATATGAAGATGTTTACATTTTTATTGTAATTTTTTTTGTTTATTTTTTAATATTTTTGCTTTTTAAAGCACTTATCGTTTCTGACTGATACATTAGATATGGCAGCATAGTGTCAGAAAAAAAAAACATGCCTACTTGTTGGGTTGATTCTTTTGAAATATGAGCTTTTTTTTCAATCAGACGTTGGGTGAAAAACGTTGGTGCCTCTGTTATTAAAACGCTACTTTCTGCACAGTCTCGTCTCAGAAACTTACAAATAAAAGGGTGTGTATGACTTGCCATGTGGCTTTGAGTGAGAAAGATAACAGAAAAAAAAAAGAAAAAGCTTTGAGTCAATGAGTCCACTGCCTCCATGTCTACAACCACAGTGTGGAGCGAAACACTTTCTATCTGCCTGACTGCCACAAAACGCTCGTCTCATCTGCCGCTTTCGACTTCACGGCCTCTGATTCCGTATTTTTTATCTTCTCCAACAATGTTCCTTTTTTTTAAATGCAAAGCTTCTTTCTTTGTATGCCTTTTATGGACTTCAAGACGCTGCTTACAAAAAATGTTTTCAATTGTAATGTTCAGGATTTTTTGTGGTTTAATGACTGTTTTTTGTCTTTTTTTGTACTGCTAATGTTGATAGAGGTGGGAAACTAAAGGCCATCAAATGTTAATGTACTGTTGTCGTCATGCCATCATCTCTTTTTAATTTTATTTTTTATTTTTTATTTACCATCTACCCAGTGGCCAGTGTTCTGGAAATGAGGTGCAGAGAGTATCTCAGGTTATTTTGCATTCTGGTGGTGTTTATGTATGTGTATAAATGTGTATATATCCATACACATCTCCACTTGTCATTCCTTTTTTCATTGGTAAAAAAAAATCCCTCTCACGTTGGATTCTGTCGACCTCCCCCTTATTTTATTCTTTTTTTTTCTGCTGTGGATTTTGATTCTCAATATGTGCTGGTTTATCCACCTTAAGACAAGATGTCAGTAAAAGAACATACCAAATTAAGATTGATATTTCTAATGTCTAATGCGTTTTAAGTGTCTCTTTAATACTCATTGTTTTTTCTTTGAAACCACAGTGTCGTTTTGTATTTATTAAAATGATAATAAAGGTATATTGTGAAATATGCATAAAGATTTGTGAGATATAAAATGTGTTCTTTTATGTTTCTTGTAAACTTTGGTGTCAGAGCCAAGCAGCGAGGCCATAAAGGAGGCGATCGGCTCACAGGTGCCGGGGTCAGTCGTCATCTGAGTCACTCTTTGTCTTGCATGTTCACCACACTGCTCTTCTCATGTCAAAACAAAAGAAACTTTTCAACACAAGGAGTTTAAAAAAACAGTCAAATTGCTTGTCAAGACAATAGAGAAAATGCCTCTTTGGAAGGATGAAAGTGCTTTACCTCTTCCGTTCATTTTCTCAGTATTGTTGGTTCTTTGTAGCCTATCTGTGTGTTTCCCTTTTGCTATAAAAGAGGATTAAAAATGACAAAAAAAGAAAATTGTTGGGTGAAGTCTTTTCTGTATAGTATGGGATGGGCTAACGCCTCAGTCCGATGCCATTTCTACATTACATTGGCTCTTTTTTTTCCCCTCCCCTCTGTACAACACCTTCTGTATTCACTTGCATGTCCTTCTTCACGAAGAGAGTGAATCAAGAAATAAACTTTTAGGGTTTCATTTTCTTTGACCTGTAAAATAAACCCATGCTCTTTTATTTCCTTGTACCTGGATCAATATCAAATAAAATATTTTTGAAAAATGGAAAATGACTTAAATGGTTTGCTTGTTAAAAAGTTTGTCCAAAAAATAAATAAAAACTGCTACTTTTCTTGTTGCTGCTTCAACAGACCGTCTCTGCTTCTGACTGAGCAACATTTGTGTTTTTATCTGCGAGTGCACATGCAGTTTGTGTTTCGCTCGCTGTGGGTGTCTGAAAGGGTTTCCTGCTAAGCTACGCATTTCATGTCAAACCAATCCTTACCTTCATCCTTCTAGAGGAGCAGCTTCAAACACAAATCCAAATCTCTCCATTCACTGAGGCTGGTGGCTTAAATATGCTCAGGGTTTCTAACACAGACCTCAAACTAAAAGAACATGTGAACCAAGTGACACAAAACTGGATGTTTAAAACCAGAAGCAGCTGTTTTATCGTTGAAATACAAGTTTAAACAAACATTAAGTGTGTTCATTAAAACACACATTAATGCACACATTAACATGTATTTGTACTGAATAAAATTCAGATTTTTTGTTATATATAAATAGTGCTTAATTTAAAAAAAAATAAGACATTTGCATAAACCAGGTAAAGGAAATAAGATTGATTTTAAATGTTTAAACTATTAATTGTTTGGAAAATGGTTGTTATTGGGGTACTTTTATTTTGAAACACATTTTGGATGGCTAATAGTAGCTTCAATAAAGGAATGAACGACATTAGGTACCCTCATTTGTGTTTGTTTTTTTTCTTGGTTTAGTTTTTATGAAACGCAGTACTCAGATGCACAGATATGCTGATGACATCCAGCTCTTTCTTTATACACCCAACTCTCCCACACACCCAATATCTCTGTCGGTGTTGATTAATGTTTTCATTTCTGTCAAAGAAATTAAACTTACATTTTAATACAAAGTGATGAAATGTCATTAATAATGGCAGGATTGTTGGTGAGCTCATGCAGTGGTTACACCTGCACATTTGTGTTTTTATTACGCTGCTGCCTGAGGGCAGAAAATATCACCACCGTTTCATATTTGTTTTCTATCCAGGCTTTGTGGCTGTTTAATTTGGCAACTTTTTAATATGATGTATCAGATAATAGACATGAATCTAAAACTTCAGTTCTCATGCAACACAATCTATCATGGTGGTAAAACAGACGACATCTGAAATAATGTTTCAGATTATTTTTCAAGGCAACAATGGTGTATCTTGTCATCCTATCTATAAGGAGAAAATGGTCCATTGAGAACTTAATGTTGACAAGCTTCAGAGTGGCAGCAAGAAAGTGACAAAACTAATCATTTTGTGTAAGGAAAGAACAAACTATCAGATTTTTCTTCTTATTTTGATATAACATTTTGGGCTGTCTTGATGATTTATTTCATGGTGAGTTGTTTTGTTTGGCCTTAACATTCTGTAATCTACGATATCAATGTAAGGAAGGTCTGATTCAGAATCAGATTGCATTCTCATGTCAAACATATCTTTCTTGATCTCACTTGTTCATTTTTGTATGGTAATTACAACTATTTGTCTTTTCAAGAAAGTTAAGACACAAGCACATGTGGATGTCTCTCATTTTTCAACTGTGACATCATCTTTGTGTTTGTGCACATGTAATATGCACACAAAAGGAACTCTAGGCTTTTAATTTATGGACATTTGGACTGAACTTTGGGGAGAGGTGTTTAACAGAACTGAGCAGTTTAATTTATTTTGTCTCAAGTATTTTATAATGACTTAATTTATGAACTTTTTGAAAAAAGATTTTAAGGATTTATTGGTTTCTTTTTGCAGATTTATAGATTTGAACCTTTTTGTTTTCACTGACAATTTAAAAGAATATGTAAACTGGAGATTTCTTTGTTAAAAAGTAATTTCAAAAATCAAAGTGTTGAATGTAAGATAAGCCCACACAATGAAAAATCGTAATAAGCTCACATTCTTCTATTCCGGCTGAAAGGATTTTACATTCATATTTATAACTAAAAAAATCCACTGATCCATCAAAAGATTCAGTGATCTAAAAAATACGGATGTATTCTGAGCTCCTTCCACGATTCTTTATCTGCTTGTATCTGGCAAGCAAGCTATGTAATAACTGCTCTGCTTCTTGCCAACAAAGCAGCTTTTCTCCTCAGGTCTCATATTTTATTTCCAACTACTTACTGGTGAGTACTCCACCTGTTCCTCATTTTTCCTTCTTGGCCTGAATGAGCTGCAAACATGCCATTTTTAGTAGAGTGCCCGTTTTCAGCTCTATCTATGAAGCACCCATTTCCAAACGGGTGTGTGATTGTTGCATCACATGGTGATGGTCTGCAGAGAGCAAAGACTGGTTAGCCAAGCAAAAAGAAATAAGCTTTGCTCAGCAAACACTGCCTGCACTAGGATACAAGTTATCAGGGTGTGATAACAGAAGTGAGTGTGCATTTAAATGTGATGTGTGCGCTTTGATGTGTGCTCCGGTGCAGTTGTGCTGGGAGAAGGGGAACAGTGGCGTGTGCCTGCATGTGTGTGTGTTGATGAAAGGAAACATCCACTGCTTGTGCTGCAGGATGTTTCTCTCTCTCTCTCTCTCTCTCTCTCTCTCTCTCTCTCTCTCTCTCTCCTCCTGCTTTTCTTCTCCTTTTTTGTCTGTGGACTGGTGACAATGAGTGGAGGTGAGAGGGCAGCAGTAGCAAGGCAACACCATTCATCACACATGTCAAACAGTAAGAGCAGCTGTGTGGGACAAACAGTAAAAATTAGCATTTCATCCCTCTCCCCTCCCTCTGCTTGTCGCTGCCCACATCTCTCTATATTTTTCCATCATAGCTCTACATGTGATAAATGAGTCCTGAAGACATGTAATTTTCCAACTGTTTGAATGAAAACATGCTGCTATTGACCAGCACTTGTCATATATTGCACTTTGTGCGGCTGATTGAATGCAGCTGTTCGGCTGCCCCCGCATTGTCTGGGTGTGGGTCCCAGCACTGGTGGTCCACCGTGACGCTGTGGGGTAACAGGAGAAAATAAATAATCATGTTTGTCAGAGCAGCATGATCAATTTATACTTTTATTATTTGACTATAATAAAATCAAATAAAAACTGAGAATTAATTGAACATGTTTTTATTCACAACTGAGGAGGTTTCCTTATTGGCTGTGATTTAAAACAGCTTCTGAAAAAGCAGAACTTCTGAATCATCATGAGACGGCATTTGGTTTATGCTGATTTGCACAACTTAATTTGCTATGTTGTTTGTATAATATGCAGCACTTTAGTCAGTAGCAGTTGTTTTTGCACGTGTTTGTAGAAATAGATTTGACTTATGTCAAAAATATGCAGGTTTGCAAAAAAATCTCTGAATATACAGTACAATGCCTGGTCAAAAAAAAGTTGCCACCTAACTAAGAAAATAGGTACGAGTCTTGGTTGAATATGTTGTGAATGATGGAAATAATTCTTGTGACATTGCAGAAACTTGTTGAAACAATGTCACAGCGGATGAATGCCATAATCAAAGTTAAAGACGGTCCAACAAAATAGTACAGTTTGTGACCTTTTTCTTTCTTTCTTTCTTTCTTTTTTTTTTTTTTGGTGGCCTCAACTTTCATGAGGTTAACTTTTCTTTTTCCCAACTTCTTTTCCCCCATCAAAGCTATGAAGACATGCTTTTGTTTTGTACTTATTTTGTTTTGTGATTTTTGTTCATTTCTGGTTAGTCTGCTCTCTGTTCAGTTTCAGCATTGTTTCTTCCACACCCACCTGCACCTGATCCTGGTTGTCCCCGCACAGGTGTCGGTGGTTTCAGTTCATTAGTTTGACTTTATATTCTTGTTGTGCTTTGTTCAGTGATCTGACGTTATTTTGTCACCTGTTAGCAGTAAGTCTGCCCTGCTTTAAGGGAAGTTTGTTTGCTGCCATGACAGCATTTTTGTTTTGAGTTTTGTTAAAAAAAAACTTCCAGTTTTAGTTCCAACTGTCTGCACCCTGAGTCCAAGCTGTGCCACCATCCCAAATCCCCTGTTACATCCCACCTCTTCCAAAGACACATTCAACTTTGACTTCTTTATCAAAACACTAACATAATAAAGTGAATGGCAACAAACTTATTTTGAAAAGAAAGAACCTTTTAATTATTCAAACTGACTTTTTTGGTGACTTTTATACAAACAAATTGATATTTTCACAACCTCTGAGCAGACGAGGTTATGGGCCTCTGTGTTCACTGATGCATGGTGGTGGGGAAGGGGGTCACACAGGTTGGGAACCACTGCTCTAGAGCATATTCAGTTAACCTAACCATAATTGTGGCTCTCAAAATGTTCAAGAGATCTGCTGAAACATTAATCCCGAGAGGCAGAAATACATTGCTGTCTTTAAATAATTCAATGTATTTAAACACAAGTGTCTTTTCTTTGACACGTGTGACATTTTTCATTAAGGGCAGTCACTAATATAAAAGAAAGTGTCCTCGACAAAAATTGGCAGTGTCTGAGTTAAAACACTTTAAAATTGGTACATTGAGTTCGAGCATCAGGACTCCTGCAGGTTCCCACCAACCGACCATTATGTCTCAGTCCAATCAGTCAAACTCGGTCCTAATCAGCCACCAGTCCAATGTGGAGTTGGGGACTTGAAATCTCTTTTCTGTTCCTTTTATTGATGTATTAGTTAACTGATTATGGGGCCCTTTTAAAAATAAATGCTGCTAATTAGCAATCAAGCCAAAAGTAACTTGCAGGTCAACGGGTACTTCCAGTATGTTGTATGTTATCCTGTTATTTTCTAATTGCTTGTAGTTTTCTTATTATTTTTGATACATGTATGGATCATTGACATATGAAGCATACATACGGTTTGTGTTTTTTCTCACCAAGAGGTTATTTTACTTTGCGATTCTTCTGGCTCATTTTCCATCCCACACTCTTCTTTTCACATTCGCCATCATCGTTCGCCTGCCTGCCCACACTTTTCCTTTCTCTTCGCTGCTCTCCTTGAGATTTGTGGTTCAGTTAGGTGTGGAGTGGGAGGGGGCGTTACATTTCACCTTG